CCAGCATGCTGAGCATCTTGCAATTATGACCATCTCTTTAGCCGACAGTCTTTCCCATACCGTGAGATGTCCTGAACATACGGGCTCTTTGGTCAAGGCTTTGGCATGCTCCATTTGTTTGGGACGTGCATACCCCGCCGGAAAACCCTTAGGCGGCCAGCTGACTGTCCACCGTGGCTTCCTCCCGAGCACCAGCCGCTGGCGCCGGCGCCCGGGCGCTGGTAGCTGCCTGAGCGCGGCGGCACCGCTCGGCCGCCGGCACCTCCCACCTGGCCACCTTAGGGTGGGTCGCTCGTGCCGCCGCCGCCGCCGCCGCCGCCCGCCCCCGCGCTGCCGAGGTGGGGCGCGCCCGGCCACGGCAACAGCGCCGCCGCAGCCGGCCGAGCGGCGCGCTCCCACGCCGGGACGCGGCGCGGCTGGGAAGCAGGCCTCCCGCCATGTCTCGCCGGTCCGTCTGGCGTCCGGCGGCGGTGACGTCATACCCATGCCTCGGGTGCGCGGCGACCCATCTGGTACCGCCGGTGTGATGTCACGTCCGAGTCCTGTGCACTGGCGCCGGGTTCGGCACATGCCGACGACCGGGCGCGCGCGCGGTGGAAGATGGGGACTTGATGCGCGTAATGTGCCATTCTGATTGGAGCTAAAGGAGACCAAACATTCCCCGGAAATGTTTATGGATGTAGCGAAATATAATTTCCATCGGTTATTACTTTCCTCATGAAGCTGTACTCGTCCGGTTTGGTCAGATAAACTTAACTCACGGGTTTTCAGATTTGGACTTCAATTAGATCGGATCAGACGGAGACCGTCACTCGACATCGTGATGCCCAGAGAAGTGCCATGTCTCCCTTGATATTGAAGGGTGCCTCCCGTTTGTGGTCCGGCGTAGTACTGAGGTCCCCTGTGGCCCGCCTGACGCCGGCGTGCAAAGCTTTATCTTCGGCAAGCTCTCAGCAAACATGACAGAATGTTTGTCGCCTGCCAGGGGTTTCTACGTCTGCGTTCCTCGCAACACGTCCGTTTCGTATCCCGCTGGAATGTTTCAGCTGTTGCAATGAGACTCTTGAATCTTGTTAACTGCCGACTTCACTTTGAAGTACCATTCTCGGAGGCCTTGGAGCGGTGCAAGTTTTTCATATCAAAGATTTATCATCCTGCTGCTCCCTTTGGTTCGGATTTATTACACATCATATGCTTGAGTTATGCGATGGACAAGAATCCTCATCTATTGTGCTAGCTGACGAATAGCGACAAATGATTTCGGGAGTGAATGGGCCTAATCTCCAGAGGCTCGTCACTCTGGTCCTGTGGCCTTGATGCACTTCGTGATCTACGTGGTGGGAAAGCAAGAGTGTGCCAGCCTCTATCTGCCTGCCGCCTCCCTCCTCCCATTGTGTTGTTCTGACCGCCCCCTCCCCCTTCAGTCAGACAGTGTTTGGGTCTGACACGCCTCATGTGTCTGTTGTCCGTCGCTGGGTATTATTGTCTGATCTGTCTGGTCCTGGCTCCCGCCGCTTGTCCGTGTCTGGTTCTGCTATCCTCCGCCCACCGTCCGTGTCAGGTCTCGCTGTCCGCCGCCCACTGTCCGTGTCTTATCCTGCCGTCCGCCGCCCGCTGTCCGTGTCTGGTCCTGCTGTCCGCCGCTGACGGTCCGTGTTTGGTCCTGCTGTCCGCCGCTGACGGTCTGTGTCTGACCGCCGCCCGCCCTGACAGCCATGTCCGCGCCGCCGCAGGTCCGGCCACCGTGCAGATGGTGTCGACCAACTCGTCGCCGCCGATGGCGTACCCGGTGCAGGTGCCGCCCGGCCACATGATGCAGCAGGTGGTGGACGGCATGGGCACGCTCCGGCACGTCATCCTGTCGCCCGAGCCGCGCGCCATGCAGCCGATGCCTCCTTACGTGAGTACCGGCGCCGGACGGCAGCTCACGCTCCGCCGCCAGCTGTCAGGAGGTGCAGGCAAACGCTGGCGCCGACGTTGGCTGCGCCGCCGCTAGTGTTTAGGTCGTCCGATGTTCATCTGGTCTCTGCACTCTGCTCTGCTCTCCTCGGCTCTGCTCTGCTTCCTGACCTCCTGTCCCCTCTCTCCTGTCTCTTCTCTTAAGCCATTCCTCGGTTTTTTGTCTTCTCCCCTCTTTCGGGCCTCCTCTTCTCTCCTCGTCTCTCCTTTCCGTTCTCTCCCTCTTTCTCTCGTCCTCTCCCCTTCACGGGCGCCGTGCTCTGGTGACGTGTGATCTCGCGTCGTATTCTTATGCCTGGTGCCATGTATCCCTGGTCCTGGGGTCCGACTGCTCTCATGTCAACGACTCGCCACCGATCACTCACTCGCTTGCTTCTAGGAGAACGGCTCTGAATGCCGAACTGTCTTAAGTTTTCACAGCTCTTTGTTTATCCTGGCCTCAAGTCTCGCTCCACGTTACATAATGTTCTGGATAAGTATCCTCTGGTTCTGAGAAGCTCCGCTCGACGAGTTAACGCCCTGAGCCCGGCCGGGGGGGAGGTGCGCGCCGGGCCGGGCCGGGCCGGGCCGGGCCGGGCCGGGCCGGCCTCGCCAGGCTGTGTGCACCGCTCTGCAGCCACTCCGCAGCAGAGCCGGCTAGAGGTCGCTCTCCGAATCTGAATTCCCAGTGCCGGACGAGATTTGCTGGTGGCGGTCGGTCGGAGCGATCCATCATACGGCTCGCCAATTTCCTGATGGGGCCGGCCGCTCGCTTCGACGCCCGTCGGCGCCCAGCCAGTCCCGGGAAGAGGGAGTGCGCAAAAGAGTCTCACGGTGTGATAAAGCTGCCGGGCTTCCCCACTTAGGCTACACAATGGACCATTGTCGCCAAAAGGCGGCGCCCCGTTTCGGATCTGTTGCGCTCTCGCGCTTGCATCCTCTTGGCGGGTCTGGCAGGTAGCCTTGCCGTGCGAAAAATCGGGGATGTATTGTTCGGGCAGCTGTGCCCTACAATGCACCGAGGCCTTGCGTCCAGCGCGAGGCGAGGCGGACCGCGACGGCGCTGCGGGCACGGGTGGCCGTGGCCAGGCCCGCCCCTGACCTGCCTCTGGGGGTGCCGGCAATGTAGTGGTTAACGCAGACGCGTTAACCACTGCGCGTGTGGGAAACCAGAGGTTCGGGGTTCGATTCCGCGAGGTGCCTGCCCTTCCTGCCAGGGCGAGAGGCAGGCGACGCCATATCGCCTCCGCAGCTGAGTGCGTCGTAAAGCCCCAATGACACACACACCTGCTCCTGGTCGGGCCGGTCGAACGCGGGCCGCCCCTCGCGTAGCCGTGCTGCTGGTGGGGGCGGGGCGCTCCCCTGCGACCAAGCGCGGGCGTGGCGCTCCACGCCGACGGGAGGACGCGAGTCCGCATGACGGCGGGAAACGCGAGGCTTCAGCATCCGACTCGCTGTGGCGCCGCCGCCGTCTGACGCGGGCTCTGACGCATCGGCGGCGGTTCGGAACCGGTCTGTGGTCGTGTGCTCACCGCGGCTGCCGCGGTACGCGCCGGAAGATGCGCGGTGAGTGACGCCGTGTCGCCTCAGAGCGGCCGGCCCCGCCGCCTGCTCTGCGTCACCGCTGTGTCGCTGCGAAAGACGTCGCCCCCGGGCCGCACTGGTCCTGCTGCGGTGATGCCTGTTAATGGTGCGCTACGTTGCAAGGCTGCCGCGTCGGGGCGGTTTCGTGAAACGTTACGACACTACCGGTTTCGTGAGACGTTACGACGCTACCGGCTTCGTGAGACGTTACGACGCCGTCGGTTTCGTGAGACGTTACGACGCCACCGACCCGGTGTGGTTTGGCCTCCCTGCTGCGGTGACGACGGCCGGATGGATCAGAGGGACGCGGCGGCGCGGTCGCCGGCTCCGTGTTGGGCGTGCCGGGACTACCCGGGACGTCTGCCCGATCCCCCACCTTGCATGCGAGTGCCAATGACGCTCCGTCAGGCTTAGGGTCGAAGAGCTGACGTCGCTCTCGCCTGCCGCGCCCAACGCTCAGCCCTCGGCGAGCTCGGGTGCTGGTCAGCCAATGGACGAACACGTGCTGCGCTCCGCTGGTGACGGAACCGGCGGAGGGGCACACGCGCTGGTCCGGCGGTGGCAGAGGCTTGGGATGGGCCAAGCGGGCCTCAGGCCGTTGATCGTATGACCTCGGCCGGGTCGCGGCGAGGGTCCGACCGGCGGCCGCTTTTCGCGAGACCCCAATCGGGTCTGCGTGGGCGCCTGTTGCCGCCGCTGCCGCAGCCCGGCGAGTTCAGAGGGCCCTAGCCGGTACAAACCGGGCTGGGACAGGAGACCCGTCGGCCGCCACCGCCGGTCGGCCGGTCCAGGCCGCGCTTGGTGGCTATTTCGGCGCGGCCGCGTCCAGGCGCGCGATTTACGGCGACGGCGGCGGAGAACGCGTGGCGCACCGCGCCGGCGGGAGCGGCTCCAGGTCCACATGCGCCGCGGAAGCCGGTCAGTGATCATCTGCGTCGGCACGAGGTCGGACCACTGCGGCACGCCCGGTTGTGTCGTCTCTTGAGCGCTGCGTGGGGTGGGGCGGAGGAGGGCAGATGAAGGTCCCCGCGGGACAGTGTGGGCGGCGTGCTCGTCAAGGAGTGAGGTGCGGCTTCGCTTGACGTCTCAGGGGAGGGGATACTCGGTACGGGGAGAGGGGGGGGGGGGGGGGGCTCCTGGAACACCGATGATGGCGCGCCGGCCTGTCCCGGGATGGTGGCGCTGCCAGTGGCTGCTGCAGCGGCCCAAGGCGTTGTTTGTCTGCTGGATGGGTCATTAATGCGCTGTTTTCTTAAGCAGACAGTGACCTGTGGGCAAACATGGCCAAAGGGTGCTGAGTGCGCTCGGGGCGATGACAGAGGTTGTGTTTCATTCTGACAGCCAAACTGGGCCGCAACAACAGGAAGGGTTGCGAAAAGGACATTGACGAGAGTTCCAATGCTTGCTAGTGTCCGCGCACGAATTTGTTCGTTTCGTGAGACGCGTCACCCGGATGCAGACGAACCGTCGCATTCGTCCGCCGTGCCATGAAATGTATTTCTCATCGTTTCTCGTGCGTTCCCGCGGCTTTCCCTCTTGCGTCCCGCGCGCGCGCGCTCTCTCTCTCGCTCTGCAGGTTTTTGTCTTCTGTTTCGCAACTTTGATGTCAGGTTTGCCCGGGCAATTTGGTCATCGTTTCATCCGTGGAAGAAACGATCACGTTGGCTTTGTAGCGCTAAACACCACCCATAACAAAACAATATGCTGCTGGGTCACCCTTCTTGGAAAGTAATGAGAGGAAGATTTACACTTTCTTCCGATGCCGATATTTTTATTCGGGCCGACATGTGGCTGCTGTTGTTCTGGACGTCACTGGCCGCCGGCTTCGTCGCGTGACTCAGCGGTCGGCCGATGAGCCGCGGACATTGTGGTTATCAGTGCGGCGGCGGGGCTCCTGCTGACACGGCGGCCCTGCAGGCTGTCGCTGGCGGGTGGACAGCGCGCGCTCGCCGTCTGACTGCTGACTACCGCGGCGTGACGCGGCAGGGCCGCTGCGCCACTCACCGTCACTGATGAGGCGCCGCCGCCGAGACGGGCCTCCTCCCGCCGGCCTCTGGTCGCGCGTCGGCGCTGGTGTCGGCTGGTGCCGGCCGGTCTCGGCCGTGACCGGTGACCGGTGACCGGTGACCGTTACTCCTGGTGGTGCGAACACCACCGGCGCTCCCCGCCGACGCCCGGCCCTCCAGCTGGTTTGCGCGGGAATGCCGTGCCCTCTGACCGCAACCGCCCTGGCGGCTTCCTGTACGTCAGACAGTGGTGGCCCCGGACGGCCCGAGCGTCAGCACTAACGAATCGGCCGCCTCCGCCGCCGCACTGCCGGCTCCGCTCCGTGCCCGCGCCCGTCCGGGCCCCCTCGCCGGCCGGGCAGCGGGCGGCCAGCGGCAGTTGGCTGTCGCTCCAGAATTTCCCACCCCGAGCCGAGGGAAAGCTGCCGACACGCAGGCGAAGCTCGCCGCTCACAGCCGGAGCTCTTTCACCGGCGGCGCCGGATGCGCGAGCTCCGCCTGTTGCCGGGCGGCCGCGACGGAGCCGGCGAGCGAGCCGGGCGCCGGGCGCCGGCCGATCGCTCGGGCCGGGACGGCGCCCGAGCTGCCCACCTGACCGTATGGTCTCGGCCGGCCGGCTCCGCTTTCTAACGGTATCTGGGACGCACTGCTCGGAATCGGCGCCAATCGATTCGGCGGCCGGCCGGGCCGCTCCCCGGACGGCCCCGGCGGCGGTGGGAGCACCTTCGCAGCCTCCCGGCGCCGGAGTGGCAGTTCTCAGCAAGCGTCGGCCCCTAGAGCTTCGCTGACAGAAAAGTGACACTCACTGGCTGAAATGGTTGCATAAGCCGGGCCATGCCCCGCGGGCGGCGGCCCCTCTGGCGACACTTCAACAGCCGCCAGCTCCGCCGCGTGCTGCACGGCTGCGGCTGCGGCTGCGGCTGCGGCTGCGGCCAGCTGACCGGCTGGGCCGGGGCCACCTGTCGCCGGCCGGGTCGGCGCGCCAGCTGACGGCGCGCGCCCGTGCGTGCGCCGGGTCAGGGGCCGGGCGGTGACGTCACGGCGCCCCGGCCGGCCGCCGCGCGCAGGCCGGCCGGCGACGGCCCCTGGCGGCGGCCGGGGGAGGGTGACCGAGGCGGGGGTCGGACGACGAGCCCGACGGGGCGAACGGGGCCGGCCGAGTGTTCCCGTCGGCGGCTCGCCCGCGCTCCCATTAAACGATGCAAATGACGGCCGTTAGGCGGGGTTTATTCGGCGTCGGATGCAGTTTCGGGGTTCCCAGAGGACACTGGAATGTACGAGCGCAGATGCAGCCGGCCCCCACCGACTGCCGACGGACATCATTCTATGACGACAAACATGGCGACTCATCTCGACTGCAGGGCCCGCGTAAGCCCAGCTGGGCGCAGGCCGTCGGCGCTGGCTGGATGCTGGAATTATTCCTGCAGCGGACACCAGCTAGCCGCCAGCCAGGAAGTGCATATCAACGTTGGATGCAAATGACATGGATTTTCGAGCGCCAGGCTTTTGATGGCGGGGTACGGACCTTGAATTGACCTTCGCTGTGCATTTCGTCAGTTTGATTATCGCAATGGGGGTTTAAGGTAAATCGGTTAGGAAAAATAAAAAAAAATTCTGTTGGTGGATAACGCAAATTGCAGCTCGGCCGCGAATGCTCACTTAAGTTGTACGAACAACAGAAGCTTACCATACACGCACACATGTCTTCGTGTGGTCACCGAAGTTCTCAGAGGCATCATTTTAGCGACCTTGCACCGTCCTTGTCTGGAGCCCCTATGAGTGTCCCTATGACACCCTATGAGTGTCCTTCCATCGACGGCCCTCGGGTCATGACCCGTCCCCCTGTTGGCCGTCCTCGGGACGACACCTTTCTCTCGGCGACCGCCCTCGTGACAGGATCGTCCGCCTGGTGATCGACCACTCCAGGACAGGGCCTGCCGCTCACCCCATCCCGGGACCCCCTGCACTCGGAGAAGGACCGCATCGGATGACTGTATATACATTTTGACGTCCCTTTGTGGCCGAGCGTATTTGACGCTGCCGCCGATTCGCGGCGCGGGTGCTGGTTGGTGCTGCGCAACCTTTTCCCATTCGCTCCGTGTCCGCGTCTTTCCTTCCGAGGCCAATCCGGCGCCATCGTCCACTTTGTGTCGTGGTGGCTGTCTGACCTTCCCTTAACGGTGATGTGCGGCGGTCATGCAATGTTTTGTTTGGTGGCCTTTCATGCTGGTCCCCAGGTCGGGGCACCGTTAGGCTTGGCGAAGATTTGGGGAATAGAAAGTTGTTCTGTGTCGGGTGCTTTATGCGAGAAAGGAATGGCGTCATTTAAATTCAGCCTTGGCCCCGCTCCTGGGTGCAGTCCATGAGAGCCGGGGATTTGCTCCTCAGGCGTGCATCTGGGATAGTTGCCGGTGCAAACAATTGCTGTCGTTTGATCTTGAATGTGTCTGCAAAGCTTGCGCTCAACAACACCTGGACGTTTCCACCGTCCCGATGCAGAACAGCTTGTGTCGCATGCCCGCTAGACATCGTTAGCTATGAATATCAGTGGAGTCAGGATGATGCGCTGTACGCCGTTTGAATGAAGGGTAGGCATTATCACAGCCTGGATGCGAGCTTCACATAGATACCTCTTCATGACAACGCTCGCCAGAGTCTGAAGCACAGCGATTTGCGGTTAACAACGGGTCCCAATATGTCAGATGCCACACGCTTGTCTGTGGTCGGCAGGTGTCTCGGCGATTGCATCAGAGTGGAGTTGGCGTTTTGTACTACTGATCCGTAGGGAGTGCTGTAATTCTAAGCTGTTGGTTACCGTCGCTGGCACGTCACCAGGGGGATGGGACCGGCCCCGAGTCGGCGGCAAATGAAGCATGAAACGTATAGGGATACATGGAAAGGAACGAATACGAACGTTATAAAACTCCGAAGATTACAAAAGTTTGCTCGCGTGTGGTTGCGTAATGATTTTCTTACATTTTCTCGTTCTTGGCGACATCACGTGATGTGGCAACCCACACAAACATCAACAGCCAGACGCTGGTTGGGTCGTGGGCAGGCGTCGCGTGTAGTTTGCGCCTGCATTGATTCGCCCCGCAAGTCCTCGAACCGAAGTCTTTCGCGGACCGTTTTTGCGCCGTGCTGGCTTCTTCGGACTACAGATATTGCCAGCGGCCTGTACGGACTTGAAGATCTCGATTGATCGCACTAACCGTGTGGCACGGTGCGGCGCCGGCCGGACACGGCGCCGGTGGCGTCAGCCAGACACGGACACGCGCCAGTCAGCAGCGCCGCCCCGCCCGGCACGGCAGCGGCGGGCTGGAGCTGCCGGACCGACCGCCGGCTGCGCCGCGGCGCGTCCCCAGCGAGAGGCCGGCAGAGTGGCCGCCGGCGAGCCCGGAGTGTGCGTGTGTGGGGGGGGGGGGGAGGGGGCGGCGCATTAGGTCTAGCTCCGGAGGTCCCGCTGGGTCAACGGGTGTGGGGGAGGGGGGGCATGAGGTCGGGGTTTCGGGGGTCCCGCCGGGTCAACGGGTGTGTGTGTGTGTGTGGGGAGGGGGAGGTGGTGGCATGAGGTCGGGGTTTCGGGGGTCCCGCTGGGTCAGCCGGTGTTTGTGGAGGGGGAGGGGGCGGTGGCATGAGGTCGGGGTTTCAGAGGTTTTGCTGAGTCAGCAGGTGTGTAGAGGGGGGGGGGGCGGCATGAGGTCGGGGTTTCGAAGGTCCCGCTCGGTCAGCGGGTGTGTAGAGGGAGGGGGAGGGGGGGGGGGGGCATGAGGGCGTTTTTCGGAGGTCCCGCTGGGTCGTTGCGACCATTGGTGTGGACTCCCCCACCGCCGCCGGGAAGCGGGAATTTGTGGCGAAAGTTTTCGAAACGCGGATCCGAATGGAACGGAATAGGGGGCGATGGCCGATAAATGGGTAGTCGGCCTCAGCCTGGGGCTATTTGAGATAATTGCGCGCGGAAGACCGTGGTACAATTGCGAGGAGCTCGTTGGCTGGCTGGTGAAATCGTGTATTGCTCAGACGGTGCTGTACAGTGGTTGTATTCTTATAATCGCGCACAATGGTGTCAACAACGAGTGGGACCGGCGTCACCCCGCCCCCCCCAAAAAAAAACCCTCATGGTTTAATGTTTTGACCAGCATTTGCACAGTGGGCTGCATTTGCAAAGCGTCAGTCGAAGCTCGGCCTCGGCTTTGACGCACGGCCACGTCCTGACGAGGCGGGTACTTGTCACGATCTGATTGGTCGGCTGGCTGCTGAACAGCTGTTGACGGTGGAGCCGGGCCGACCACAGGTGCGGCGGGCCTGTGCGGACTCTGCGCCGCGTCCATGTCGGATGGCCTCTCTGTCCTCTGTCCCATGCCCCTTGGTCGTCACCCCCGCCCAACTGGGCCTCGTCTGTCTCGTGGGATCCTCCACCGCTCGCCAGCGCCGCGGAGGCCGAGTGACGAGCGGGGCGCCCGCTTGCGCCTGCTAATCTGCCGGCCCGGCCGGATCATCAGCCGATAGTGGACAGGTGTCGCCGGGCGGTGCGGCCCCACTCGCCAGTGTCGCGCCCTGTGCCCGCGTCGCGAGCAACGACGCGCATGTGAACGCCGCGCCGTCCGTTGCAGAACACGAGCCAGCCGCCGCCGCCGTTCTACCCGCCGCCGCCTCAGGGGTTCGCGCCGCCCTACCCGCCGCACGCCATGTACGGCCCGGCGCAACAGCCGACGCCGGTCATGCCGGCCGGCACGCCCATGTCGCAAGGTGAGCTGACGCCGTCCGGCCCGGGCTGGAGCGGCCGGGTCGAGCCGCGGCGGCCGGGACGCGTGCCGTCCGGCGCGCCGACGGCCGCCTGTTAGTCGTGGGTGTGCTGGGTGTTGACGAGTCGTGATGGACTGTTTGTTTGATCGCTTGTGATTGTTAAGTGCTCGGTGGGTTGGGCCGGGGCCGCGTTAAGTGCTCGGTTTCGCCTGTGCCGTGTTAAAGACGCCCGGATCCCACACTGAACCGTCCCATGGCGCTGCGCGTGACGCGGTCACCTGCCTCCGTCGGTACCCACCGGCGTCGGCCGCCACCGCTGACGGACGGCGCAGTCGGATAGGGCGCCGGCAGGCGTCCGGCCGCCGCCGCCGCTGGAAATACACGGGGCTCAGGTGGCCGGCCGTTGATGGCCGGCCCGCTCCCACACCAGCGCCTCCCACGCGCCGCGCCGGCGCCGAGCCCGGGCGCCGAGCCCGGCTGCGGCTAGCGCGGGGACCGGGCCGGTGGGCGGGCGGCGGGCGGGAGCCGGATGCTGTCGGGTCAGGTCGGGGCGGCCCCCGGCCGGCCAGCGTGCCGGTGGCGGCGCGGGCGCGCCCGGAGACGAGCGAGAGAGAAGGGCGCCCGCCTCTGCCCGGCTCTGTCCGCCCGGGTTTGCGGGCCTGACGAGCTCTTGCTAAACGTGTGTGCCGGGCCGAGGAGCGGGCAAGTTTGATGAGATTTCTGGTATGTCGTTTGATTGTTATGCTGAAAGCCTGCCGTCGTGGTCTGCAAGTTTGTTGCATTGCTGAGGAGTTTCGGGCTTCCGCATTGATCAACTTGCAGGCGGTAGTCTAGTTTGATCTGATTTGTGACGTTTCGATGGCAGGGCGGACTGTAATCCTTTGTGGCGAACAACCGGAAGGAACAATCTTGTGACGTTAGTTTCAAACCTTTCAAGGGATAGCCAGCCCGGATGAGTCCAGCTTCTTAGATCCGTCAGGCGTCCTCATGGTGTTGGCTGGTGTTTATTTGGACTGTCCTACACCTAGTGCTTGTTTGGCACCCCTAGCTGCTACCAACACTTTCCTTGTGCCCTGCTTTTGCCTGCTGACCGCCCGTGCATCATGCATATGTATCGTGCTAGATGACCCTATAATCGATGCGCCCAAAGCCCCAATCACTATTCTCATGCATCGGCACTGGTGCGCTGCCAGGTCGGCGCCGCGCGCCGATTGCTGGCCAGGCGGCGCCGCTTCCGGCGCGCGTGTCCGGACCGCCACGCGCCGGGCCGACGTGCGTGCGGCACTGCGCAGCGCCGGCCGCCAAGGTCACGTCCAGCGCGTGTGCGGTGCAGCCGGTCAATGACCAGGCGACGGCGGAGCGGCGGCAGCGGCGGCGCCCGTCGCCGGGGCGGCGGTCCCGGCGTGCGGGACGCGCCCATGCCCGGCTGATTCAGCGAGTTAGCGGCGCTCCGACCCGGAAACGGTGCGACGCTGCACTGCGTGGGCCGCGGCGGGCCGCCGCCCGCCGCCGCCGCCGCCGCCGCCGCCATCATCGCCGCCGCCACCGCCGCCGCCGCTCGGCTGTCGTCGGGCGGCAGACGCGGAAGCAGTGGAGATAGGCGGACGGCCCCCGGCCGGATCGGACCCGGAGACAGAGCGGCGGGCGGGGAAGGCGTCCACCTGCCCGCGGAGACTTGTCCGCGCCGGTCAGGGAGAGGGGGGGGGGGGGGGACGCCGCCGGCGGGCCGAGCGCGCCGCGCGCGACGCGTCCCACCCGCCGGTTATCGATTGGAATGCGGCGGCGGCCGCTGCTGCGGGGCGTGAGCGGTCGGCGGCGCCACCCCGGGCCGGCCGGCGACCTCGGCGACCTCGGCCGGACGGAAGGGCCGCCGGCTGAGTCAGCGGCCGGCGCCGGCACCTGGCGCCCGTGTCGGCTGCGCCTGACGTCACCCGGCCGGCCGGCTCGCAAATAGCCGGCGGCTGGCCGTGACCCCCGCTGGCGCCGGCGGCGTGGCCGGCGCTCCAGGGACGAGCCATTCGGCTCCGTGGTCGGAGGTGGGCCTTGCCCAAATCATTAGGTGGAAGAAGGAGTGCATTGGGGCTTTGAGGGTAGCCCTGTGTCCACAACGCCCGTAGACTCCATGTTGAAGTTCAGGAACACTATGGTGAGGGGCGCGGAAGTTCCTCCAAATGCATGGCAAGTTTCACTTATTTTGATAGTTGTTTGGAGGCCATTCGGTCTAGACGGGGCGCCGTGGCTGTCTGGCCGCATGGCTGGGCTGGGGCGTGCGGCGCGGCCGGCGGCGGTCTGGGCGCGGGCGCCGCTCCAGACTGGGTGCTCCCTGTGACCGAGCCGGCCGGACACGCCTCCAGCCGTGGCAGCAGTCGGCGGCGGCTGGGATTCCCCGGCTTTCTGGCGGCCGGGTTCAGACCCAGCTGGTCATCAGCCGCGTGGGCACTGGCCGTTGGCCGGTGCTGGGGCGGCCGGCCGCCGCGCACGGGCTCGCTACCATGGAGCGGCGCGGTCAGACGGCCGCGGCGCCGGCGAAGCCCGCGAGCTGTGGCTGGCGCGGCGCCCGCGGCCGCTTGTGGGCTGCCGAGTGGAGGTTGAGCAGCCGACGCTGTGACGGTGATTCATCACCTCACTGCCCTCCGCTCGCCCAGGCGAGGCAGCTCCGCCAGCAAACCTCCGAGGAGGCCGAGTTCAGGAAGCGGCGCCGAATGCTCCCAACACAAAAACAGGCAGGGCAGCATGACCTCAGCAGTAAGCGCGCTTAACAGCTTCAAGTAAACAACAACTGAAGACGGACAACACCTGCATGTGTCGTGTTCATGGTAGGAACGTAGTTTCGTTGCCCCTTTCCATGAATCCACCTCGTGCCCACCACCCATTGGATGAGTTCGCGAAACGGAACAGTTCGCCTAGGTGGCGCGAAGAGCAGACAGGGGGAGGAGAATTCAAACGAATGCATTCGCCACCCATGCGAAATTACCTCTGCCGGCGTTGCACCCTTGAGGAGATTTACGTCCTGTCAACGGGACAGATGAGGTCGGTGGCGGAAAATATTGAATCGCACGCTCGTACAGTCGGTCTGCTGCCACATCTGAGCAGTTGGCTCACATTTTGTCAGTCAGGGACGACCGCACCGCGCGGAGGTTCCTGGACTTCGCCCAGCCGTTTGCGGAATCCGAGCGCCGGCGAGCTGTGCATGGCTGCAGAGCCCACCGGAAGCGGAGGAATCCGCAGATGTCCTGCATTCCCCAACGCATCGCTCTGTTTATGCACGGTGACGGCACTGTATATTTTGGGTCGCAAGTATCATTCCTGGGGTGACGAAACGCCTTCCGAATCCACACTTTCGTCGGGCCGTCGGTGTTACCCAGCGGCGGACCGGTTCGGCGCTGGCGGGCGCCTGCTCTCGCCCTTCGAGTCGAAGCGCCTGCCGGGCGCTGTGCGGTGCTGCGGCCCGACGGAACGCGGCGGGCGGCGGCGGCGGCGGCGGCGGCGGCGGCGGCCATTCATTGGTGGCCGCCGCCAGCAGCGCCGTCCGTGCGCGTGCACTGTGATTGTGCGCTGCGAGTGTGCACACTGCACTGTGCACAGCGCCGGGCGGCGGTCAGCGGTGCAGCGGCGCTGATCCCCCGGCTACGGGCCGGCCAGCCGGCGGCGCGACAAACACGCGGCACGGAGCGGCCCGGCTGGGCTCAGATGTCCTTCCGCATGCGCGCCAGGCAGACACGAGCACCGTGAACACATAGACGGGGAGGGGACGAGAGTGCAGGCGCGTGGAGAGTGCATGTTGGGAGGGGAGGGCGGGGGGTGGGGGTGGGGGTGGGGGTGGAAGGTTCGCAGAGAATGCCGCACGGCTGGCGATGCTGGAGGGTGGGGGCCGGCACTGCCAGCGGCCGACGGGCGGTCAGCCGGGCAGCGCCAGGTCAGCCTTTCCGACTGGCCGTCTCAGGTGGGCCAGGGGCGCCGCCGCCGCCGCTCGGCTCGAGTGACCGGCCGGGGGCGCCGCTGGCGGCGTCTGGACGCCACCGGACCAGCCGCCGGACCCAGCCGCCGGACCCAGCCGCCGGACCCAGCCACCGGACCCGACCAGCCGGACCCAGCCGCCGGACCAGCCGCCGGACCAGCCGCCGGACCCAGCCGCCGGACCAGCCGTCGGACCCAGCCGTCGGACCAGCCACCGGACCCAGCCCAGCCGCTGGACGCGCGTCCTCATTCTGCGCGACGCGCTGCCGCACGCGCCGTAAGCGCGCAGCCGCGGCTCGGAAAGCTCGCGCCACGCCGCCCCGGCCGGCCGCCGACCTGGCGCCGAGAACGCTCCGGACGGTTGCGTAGCGCGCCGGTGAGCGACGGGCGACGGCTAGCTCTGCCTCGCACATAATGGACCCGGAATTGGCTGTCTGATAGCGAGATGCGGGCGCTGCCGGCGCAAATGCGAATATTTGTCATGGCGGTGGATCGTCCGCCCGCTCACCGGGCCTGTAACGGGCGCGACGGCCGTCCCACCCGGCCGCTGCCGCTGCTGGAAAGCGTCGTCGCCGGCTTCCAGGGAGACTATTCTCGGCGCCACCTGCGATCGGTTTCAGCGGGCTTTGCCGGCCGCGAGGGGTCGATTTGCGCATCGTTCGGCGTACGAGCCTTGTTGGCAGCGTGCCGCCGCGCCCTTTCGCCGCAGCTCGACGGGCAGGTTCTCGGGAGCGCGGCGAGAGGGTCGGCCGGCGGCCCCTGACGCTGCCGGACGTGGCAGGGTCGGCTGGGCCGGGTCGCCGCAGCTCGGCGGCCAGGTTCTAGGGAGCGCAGCGAGAGGGTCGGCCGGCAGTCCCTGACGTCGCCGGACGCGGCAGGGTCGGCTGGGCCGGGTCGCCGCAGCTCGGCGGCCAGGTTCTAGGGAGCGCGGCGACATGGTCCGGGATCGCGGCGCCCAGGCCGCTCGGCCGGCCGGCGGCCCCGGCTGCCAAGTTGTGTCTGGCGCGCCAGGTCGTCGGGTGCCGTCGGGAAGTGGTGCCGCGCCGGCGCCGGCGCCGGCGGCTCCGTCTGGCGGCGCTCGGCCGGAGCGGTCCGCACGCCGATGACCTCAGCCGTCTGGAGGTCGCGCCGTCGCGCGCCGTCAATATTTGCCGCCGTGCGCGAGCGGCGGCGGCGGCGCCTGCAGGCCGGGCGCCGCCGGGCGGGAGCACCCCTGCACGGACGGTGACGGTGTCTCGCCCACGCGGCGGCCGCGCCCACGCCGGGGTCGGCCGGGCGTGAGCGGCCGGCCGCCGACTGTGGAGTGGCTCCCGGGTTACGCTCTGGTCCGGCGTCCGCTGTGTGCGTGAGGTGCGCGGCGCGCAGTGGAAGCGGCAGCCCTCTCCGTCCTCGGTAAAGTTTACTTTCGATCTCACCTGACCTTCCCCAACGACGTGTCCCCCTCCTCCGCCGCCGCCCCGCCACAGGCGACGTCGGAGACGGCGCTCACTGCGTTTGGCCGACGACAGCTCACGCGTGATGTCCTCGCCTTCCGCAGGGCCGTCCCCGCCGCCGCCGGTGCCGCACTACAGCAAGGACCAGCGCTCGCAGAAACGCATGCAACGCATGCGGCGCAAGCTGAACGAGCGCCAGCGCCAGCCGGCGAGCGGCGCGCGAACCTCACCCTCGCAGTCGCCGTCGCCCGGTAGGTGTCACTATGTGCCACTGTCGCGGAGGCGTGTCGCAGCGCCGGTATGCGCCGGCTTGGCGGCGTCAGGTGCGTGAACTTTGATGTCGATGAGTGCGTGCCCGTCTTGGAGGGCGTCCAAACCACAGACGTGATCTCGTCGCCGTTGCTCTGGCTTCGTGACGCTGGCGGGCGCTAGCGGCCGGGCGATGGTGGTGCCGGGCGGCCCGGCCCTCGCCTGGCGCCAGGGTGGCGACGTCACGGTGACGCGCGTCCCGCGCGCCGCCGTCGCCGGACCGCCGCTGACGCTCGTGTCCTCCGTCCGCCGCAGCCGACCATAAGAACGGCGTGGGCGTGCGACCGGCGGCGTCCGAGCCCGAGGAGAACGGCGAGCCGAGCGGCGGCAGCACCAGCTCCGTCTGCAGCCAGCAGGAGGAGGAGGACCGCGCCGTGGTCGAGTTCCTCTCCAAGCTGAGGCCGCCCCAGGTGAGCCTGCCGCGCCGGCCCCGGCCCCGGTGGGCCGGGCGGTGCCGGCGACGTAAGCGGGTCTGTCTCGGTGCTGGCGGCATGTCGGGCACAGTTCGGGCGTCATCCAAGAATGAGCGGGGCGACTGGGTCGGGGATGATGCTGGTGAAGTGTACGGGAGGGCTTGAGGGGATGACCAACGCTGGCTATGCTCTGCGTTAACTGTTACACATCGACTGCGATCCTGGCCGCTGTCCACATTCCGTGCCGCCACGCAGTGCACACCCACACCTGGATGACGTTGGCTGCTGTGTGACGCCGTCGTACGTCTGGCGGCGGCGGGAGCGCCGGCCGGGAGCGGCGCGTGTGACGCCGCGCCGTCCGCCAGGTGTCGGAGGTGGCTTGCAGCAGCGCGCTGGTCAGCTGGGCGCACCCGGACGTCACCGTCGACCACCTGAGCATCCCGCCCGACCAGCTGAGCTACGAGCTGTCGCTGGCCGAGCTGCGGCCCGGCGGCTCGGGCGCCGCGCCGCCGCCGCTCACCGCCTACCGATGCGTGTTCGCCGACAAGGCCGTCTCCACCGAGCTGAGCAAGCTCCGGCCGGGCACCACCTATTACCTGATGTGAGTGGCCGCCGGCGGGCGTCAGCAGTCGCCGGACGGTCGGAGGGGGCGCTGGAGGCGGGAGGGACCCGGGCGGCGCCGGCCTCTCCCGGGTCTGGTGTGCTGTCGAGCTGGCCGCGCGGCTGCCATACTGACGTCTCTGCAGATGATTGGTGTGGTTTTGTTCTGCTGGCCGCGCGGCGCACTGTGTTGCCACCGGCGTTGGCAGGCGGCGGGGGCATCCCAGGTGGACCGCATCCGTTTTTTTTTTTTGTATTTGGAGGCCTTTGTGATTTCTGTGTCGTTGTGCCAGTTCAGTTGGATTTTCAGTGTGCCATGTTAAGCGGCGTGTTTCGATGTGTGTTTTTTTGTGCGGTTCAGCTCCGTGACCCAGTGTGATTCAGCTCCGTAATTCAGTGTGATTCAGCTCCTTAATTCGATGTGATTCATCCCCTTACCTCAGTGTGATTCAGCTCCATGTTTTGGCGTGACTCAGCTCTGTGATTCGGTGTGTCGCTGGCGCAGCGTCTGTGCGACCGCCGCTCGCGCCGCGGCGGTGGCGGCTGCCGCGGTCCGGGCGCTGTTCCGGCCGCCGCCGCCGCGCTCTGACCGTGCCCGCGCGGGCCCCCTCAGCTTGCAGGGCAGCCTGGCCGGCCTGCAGGGCAGCCGCTGCACCCCGGTCAGCTTCACCACCCTGGCCACGGCGCCCAACCAGCCGCTGCCGCCCACGCTGCAGAACAAAACCAAAACTAGTCTTCACGTCAGGTGAGCGGCGCCGGCCGACGGCGCTGGTGGCGGCCGTTGGGCCAGCTGCCGCTCTTTGTCTTCCCACCGCCTCTCTCCCGCTTTGTCTCCCACTTTGCGCGTCAAGGAGCGCCGTGCCCTGCGACAGCGAGGTACCTGCGACTGTTTAGTGCCCCCCAGCCTTCCGTCTCTCCTCGTACCCACGGACGCGTTCGCCGTCGGCCGCTGACCAGTCCCTGCCCCCCTCCCCCTCCCCCAGGTGGTCAGCACCCCACGACAACGGCGCCCGCGTTACCCAGTACGTGCTGGAGTGTGACGACGGCGCCGGCTTCAGCGAAGTCTTCCGCGGCCGTAGCAAGCAGAACAACATCACCCACCTGCAGGCGGCCACCTCCTACCGGCTGCGCGTCAGCGCCGTCAACGAGATTGGCCAGAGGTCAGTCGGGATCGCGGCAGGGGTCAGAGATTGGTCAGAGGGTCACGGACGGCGAGCTGTAACGGGTGGTGTTTTGTGGAAAAATGGAATGCAGGGGCGCAGGCTGGGCCAGGCGTGGATCGCGATGCGCGGCAGAGCCTGGGAGAGGCAGGGAGAAGTCTATTCATGGGCTGAATTAACTACCAAAGCTCAGCCCGAGGTCAAGACCAGAGCAGGCACGGCAGACCGGTCGCAGTCGACCCCCAGCACCAACGAAGTTTTCTCCTCCCCGAAGATGACGAGGTCAGTGGAGCAATCCGCGAACCGCTGAGAGCCCCGCGTTGTTGGCGAGGTCGCTGCAGTGATGCCGCTGTTGGTGAGCCAACGATGCTGACGGCGCGCCTCCGTTGCAGCGCCTTCTCCGAGCCGGTGTCGCTGCAGACGTCGGGCTCGGCGCCGCCGCCGCCGGCGCCGCCGCAGCTGCTGGACGCCACGGCCACGGCGCTGGCGCTGAGCTGGCAGCGCCGGCCGTCCGACGACTCGTTCTGCGTGCAGATGGAGGAGCAGGGCTCCGACTACGGCTTCCTGGCGCTGTACAGCGGCCCCGACACCAGCCACCAAGCCACCGGGCTGCGCCGCAACACCAAGTACCACTTCAGGGTAAGCCACGCGCCGACAGTGGAGGGCGCCGGCAGGCGGGGGCGGCTGCCGTCTGCTGGCAGTGAGGCTGAGCATCCACGTGGGCGAAACTACCCGACTCGGTCCGCTGCAGCGTCATGCGTCGTCTGACTCGAATACCTGAAGTCGCTCCGTGCGGGAGAAATGAAGCAGTCCGAAATATAATCTCTAAGATATTAACCAGTGGGTTAAGGATGTAATCTTAATGAGGGTTCAGGTAGGCACTCGCTAACTTGTGCGCGGAAGGCGTAACAACGCTGGAAAGTGACAGTCTGAGGTGCGGTCTGAAGGTGAACACTGGTCTGGGGAGGTGGGGAGAGGGGGGGGGGGGGGCTTTAAACGCATAGGTGTTCGGCACAGTCAGGAACGTGGCTGCGCCGGACGTGGCCGATCGGTTCGATCAGCAGCTGTCTCTTGCTCCAGCACTGCTCCCGCACGAGGTGTTTTGTGCGCGGTCTGACTTTTCACCATTTGAGGTCGAGACGCTAGCAGGGTTTCCACAGTCTGATTTCATGACGCTGAATGATGGATGCATGCCGTCAGAGTTTGCCACGTTCGCGGTTGAAGCCTCAGCGGAGGATGACATGTATGTTTATGGCGGTGTCTGGCGTCTAGGTGTGCTCATAGCGAGGCGGTGAGACTTCTTCTTTGCAGCGTTCTTCCGCACCTACACGCTTCTCCTGTACTCTAAGGCTGGGGCGTCCTGACCCAGCCACGCCCCCATGAGTGTGTTGTCCGACCTGGCTGCAGTGTTCGTCATCGTGTTCGGACGTGTCCGCCAGTGGCCGCCCCTGCCGTGCAGACCCCCCCCCCCCCCCTCGTCTGCTGGGTGACGGCCGCTCGGCGCCTGTCGCGCCGGTGTCGGCCTCCCCGGAGCTCCGCCCGGCCGCCCCTCTAACGCCGACCCGCCGGCCGGCAGCTGCGCGCCGTGAACGAGGAGGGCGCGTCGCCATGGTCGGAGCCGGTCAGCTACCGGACGCAGTGCGTGGCGCCGCAGCCGCCGGCCAAGCCTCAGGTGCGCGGCCGCATCCACGCGCACCACTTCCGGCTACGCTGGGAGCCGCCGCAGGACACGGGCGGCGCCGCCGTCACCGGCTACCGGCTGCAGCTGGAGCGCGGCGCCGGCTGGCAGGAGATCTACAGCGGCGCCGAGCAGGAGCACACGGTCGACGGCCTCGAGCCGGGCACCACATACCAGCTGCAGGTGCGCACGGCGGTGGGCTGGAGCGTGCCGACGCCCGCTGGAGGGGGGTGGGGAGCGTACCCTGTTATGGAAAGGCCCAAGCTGGCATGGTCAGTGCGTGCCAGCCGGCATTGAGCGCGTTCGTTAACTTGCCTGTGTGTCAATAACGTGTTAAATATCAGACCGTCGCGTCTGCGTGTGGGCGACGCGAGGAGCGCGCGTTGCCGGGACACGTGCGTCGCACGTTCGTTGTTTTGTTCGTTCAAACCGTGTGCCAGCTGAGGCCTCCCGGCGTCTGGTGGAAGCGGGCGTCAGGTAAGGTTCTCTGTGTCGTGAAAGCAGGTGGCTGGATCATAAGCCGGCAACGCCAGGGATTTTCCGCACGGTCGCCCACATCCCGTGTCGGTGGCTCAGCGCACCGCGTGGCGACGGTCGGTGTTCGTGACAGGCGTGCGGGTCGTCCCCAGGTGCGCTGCGTGGGCGAGGGCGGCGTGAGCGGTCCGTCGGAGCCGGCCACGGTCACCACCGAGCCCGTCTGCCCCGGCCGCTGCGCCGCGCCCCGTCTGCACGGCAAGCCGCGCGCCACCTCCTGCCACGTCAAGTGGGGTGAGTGGCGGCCTGCCGCCGCCGCTGCCGCGGCGCCCCGGCCGAGCCGCCCGCTGAGACGAGCGGCGCGGCGCTGCCAGGCGGCGGCCGGCCCGGCGCGGCACCGGCGCCGCGCCGGGTCACTCGGCCGGCTGCTGTGACTGTTGCGCTGCCGTGTCCGCACTGGCGGCCGTCCAGCTGACGGGCTTCGGCTGAAGCGGACGCGGCGTGTGGACTCTGGCCGCTGCGTGACCAGGCTGTGATGCGGACTTGACGTGGATCGCTCGTGACCAAGGCGGACGTTACGTGGGACTCCTTGACCAATGCGGGTGTGACATGGGACTCCTTGACCAAGGCGGACATGACGTGGGACTCCCGTGACGAAAGCTGACGTGACGTGGGACTCTGTGACGGAGGCAGACGTGACGTGGGACTCCTTGACTAAGACGGACGTGACGTGGGGCTCTCGTGACGGAGGCGGAGGTGACGTGGGACTCTCGTGACCGAGGCGGAGGTGACTAAGGCCGCCCGCCCACCGACAGGTTGCCCGGAGTTCTCGGGCGGCTCGCTCGGCTCGCTGGTGACGCGGTTCGAGCTGGACCTGACGCTGCCGGACACCAGCTCCAGTCGCGTGTACAGCGGCCAGGACACCGAGTGCACAGTCTCCTGCCTACTGCCCGGCCGGCCCTACCTGCTCCAGGTGGGAGCGCCCGGGTGCCGGGAGGCCGCCGCGACCTCGCAACGGCGCACGGGCGCGGAGGCCACAGTGGCGGTGGCGCGCCGCTCTGTCAGAGACTCGTTTGAGCTTCGTCCGCTACTGGGCTGTGTGCCCGGCGTGCGTGCATCAAGTTCTCGTTCACTGTTGCTTTCGCCCCGACGCCCTCCCATGAACTCGCTAACGTTAGGTCTGTATGCTCGTTCTCTGTCAGGGATCACCACTTCGGTGGCCCTGCTACACGCTGGGTTCAGTAATTGATTCCTCTCAGATGCGGCTGCGCCACCCGGTGAGACCGTGCGGTGTGTGCCGGCGGGGCGGACCGACGGCGCCGGCGTCTGACCTCCCCGCCGCCGTCTGACCTCCCCGCCGCTGTCTGACCTCCCGCCCTGCCGTCTGTCTGACCTCTCCCGCCGGCATCTGACCTCCCCGCCGCTGTCTGACCTCCCCGCCGCCGTCTGACCTCCCCGCCGCCGTCTGACCTCCCCCGCCGCCGTCTGATCCCCGCCGCCGTCTGACCTCCCGCCCCGCCGTCTGACCTCTCCCGCCGGCGTCTGACCTTTCTCGCCGCCGGCAGGTACGCGCCGTGAACCGGGTGGGCGCCGGCGAGTGGTCGGAGCCACTGCGGATGGTGAGCGGCGCCGGGCCGCCGGACGCGCCGGCGCCGCCCGACGTCACGGCCCGCTCGCCGCACGCGCTGCTCGTGCGCTGGCGCGAGCCGGCCACCAACGGCGCCGCCGTCACCGAGTACCGGCTGGAGTCGGCCGCGCTCTCGCCGGCCGGCCAACCGCTCCAGCTGGCGTACGCCGGCACGGCGACGCAGCACGAGGTGCGCGGCCTGATGCCGGCCACCGCCTACCGGTTCCGCGTGTCGGCGACGAACGCGGCCGGCGCCGGGCCGCCGTCGGAGCCGGCGCTAGCCGTGACGCCGGCCGCCTCGCCGGCGGCGGTCGGCGCCGTCGAGGCCGAGCCGTCGGCCACCAGCCTGGCTCTGAGCTGGACGGCGCCGGCCGACCACGGTGCCGAGGTGCTGCACTACACGGTGGAGGTGGCCGACCGGCTGTGCAGCACGCCCGGGCCGCAGACGCACCTGACGGTCGACCAGCTGGCGCCGGACACGGTCTACAGGTGAGGCCGGGCGCCGGCGGACCGGCCGACACTAGCGCCCCCGCAGCGGCTTCAGCGTGCCGGACGGGAGCTACCGGCGTCGCGACCGGACGTTGGAATGTTGCCGCTGCCTTGCTGTTGGATGTTGGTGATATTGTTTCTCATCGTGATTAAATTGTCGTGGCTTGTCTTGCTTCTGAAGAGCCTGATCCCAGTGCTCGTGCTGAGCAAATCTCAGTTGAAGATATCCCGCGCTTTGACCGGACTGAGTTGGTCACGGGCTGCACGCGGCCGACGTCCGGCGTCCGCGGTACCCGTCTCTGCGTGCGCCGGCCGCTCCGTCGGCGCTGCGCCTCACCGAGCCGCGCCGGGGCCCGCAGGATACGCGTGCAGGCGGTGAACAACGTGGGGACCGGGTCCGTTCAGCGGCGTGCACAAGTGGAGCACGCTGAGCCTGCCGCCGCCGCCGCCGCCGCTCGAGGTTCACGCACACGGCGCACAACTTCGTCCGGCTGCGCTGGGGCGACGCCAAACAGCAGACGGATCGCATCGTTTACTCGCTCGAGTGCGAGGCCAAGAACGGAGAGTGAGTGCACTGCCGCTGCGGAAGCGGGAGGGGCAGAGGGTGGGGAGGGAGTGCTGCGAGCCAGATCTCACCGCCACTCGACTTTGGAGGGGATTGTCGACGGGCTTTTAGCGAGACGTTAACTGTCTGAGAGCTCAGCAGAACTGAGCAAGTTTTTCGTGGAGGCCGGGATCTTCCAAGCAGCACTAAAGCTCGGAGCAGTGCACTTGCCCGGGGCTTCCGAGGGTTACGTTGCCGCGCCGCGACGGCCGCTCAGAGTTGGCGCTCCGTCGATCACCTGAGGTCGTGGCTGCGCGCCTCGGGCTGTGCTTGGGTGCGCGACTGACGCCCGGCGTCGGGCTGGCCGGCAGGTTTTACGTGGTGTATGAGGGCAGCGGCACGCAGTTCAAGATGTCGCGGCTGGCCGAGGACACCGAGTACCGGCTGCGCATCTGCGCGGCCAACGAGGCCGGCGACGGCCCCTACTCGCACGTGGTCAGCACGCGCACCACCCGCCAGCCGCTGCCCAGCGTCCGCGGTACGCAGCTTCGCCGTCCGAGCCGCCCCGTGGCTGGCGGCCGTTGTACGCCTACGGCTGGAGAGCTCGCGGAGACTCACACACTCACACGGGGTGGGAGGCCTGCTCGCCGTCGTAGGCGGCGTCACGCCGACGGAGGGGAGAAGCGGGCAGAAACGCGACGCCGTAAGCTGCCAGGAGGCTCCCACGCGCGCAGGATGTCAAGAGACTTACACGGCTTCAGTATGTCAGGAGACAGATTTGATCACGCTGATCGAAGGCTTGCACAGTAACGCGGTAAGAGGCTGGCATGCTCTTTAGATGATGTGTTACGTAGTAGAACACAGTTCAGGCACCTGTGGGACGTGAGAGGTGACAAAGAGCAACCTGTACACTAACAGGAATGCGTAAATCTGAAAAAAGAAATCACCAGGGCCTTCATGCTACGCCAGGTGCAGGTTCTATCGGGGAAAAACTGCAGACGTAACTATAGCAGAGCGTCCATCACCCAGAGCCCCAAGCGTCACGCGTGATGAGTTGGGTGCCGGTGCCGACGGGAGCAGCCTCGCGGACCGGGCCGCCGACCGGTGACGGCCGCCCTGTGTCGGCAGGCCTGCGGGTGGGCGAGCGCACCGAGCGCACCTGCGTGCTGGAGTGGCTGCCGGCCAAGCCGACCTCGGGCCAGCCAGCCGACCGGCTCACCTACCAGCTGCAGCTGCTGGCACTCAGCCGTGACCCGGAGTTCCGCACGGTGAGGGACGCCGCCGCTGGTGTGGGGGACGCGTGGAGGCGCGCCACTCCGAGTTGGCACGAGCGGGCTGGGGATTCAAGCCTCGGGGCTGTTGTTTTTGGGCTGTGGCATTACTCCTGATTTATGTGGTACTTGTTTTGCTGGCAGTTCTTTTCTTTTAGAAATGGTAGTATTTTACATTGGCATTACAGTTCAGTGGTTGACGTAGGCAAACTACGTTTGTGAACCATCGTTTTGTTTAGAGTTCTGACGGCAGCAAAACTGAGAAGTCGCCGTTGTGCGTCGCTGGAGATGTCGCTGGAGCTTTTTCTCGTTATAGTTTACTTTGTTTTTATTTTTGTTTTTGTTTTCTGTTCGGCGCGATCACTGCGTGTATGTGGGATGCCTTTGCTGAGGGCACTTGTGTGGCGTCCTGCTGTGCCACATGTGGCCGCTGCGCCGCTACGGAGCCTCCGGCAGCGGACCGGCCGCCGCCGCCGCCGGAAGCAGACATCCGGCCGGCGCGCCGGCGCCGCTGACCGGCCGCCTGTCCGCCAGGTGTACTCTGGTCCCGAGGTGACGTACCGGCTGACGGGTCTGGAGCCGCAGCACGACTACCAGGCGCGCGTGTGCTGCCTGACGGCCGGCGGCGCGCACGGCCCGTTCACGGCCGCGCAGCGCTTCAGCACGCCGGCCGGGCCGCCGCCGCCGGCCGCCACGCGCGCCCACGCCGGCCAGCACACCGCCAAGGTGGGTGCCGGCGGTCACGGCTGGGGGACTCGCTGTCCGCTGGTGGCGCCACGGGCGCCGCTGTCGGATGGCGCCCAGGAGGAGACAGGTGGACGGCGCTGGTGATCTGTGGGGCTGCCCCCTCTTCCCCCCCCCCCCCCACCGGCGGTGGCGCCCAGGAGGTGATAGGTGGACGGCGCTGGCGATCTGTGGGGCTGCCCCCCCCCCCCCCCCCACCGGCGGTGGCGCCCATGAGGTGATAGGTGGACGACGCTGGCGATCTGTGGGGCTGCCCCCTCCTCCCTCCGCTCCCCCACTGCCGGGCCGAGCCCTGCCGTGCTTGTGTATTGGATGGGCTCGGGGAGACGGTTCCCGGTGCGTGTGGATCTGAACGTGGCCGGTGTTGCCGCATCCGGGCCCAGTCGCGCCAGCCGTCGCAGCCCGGTGCCGTGCGTCGCCGTCCGGCGGCTAACGACAGCCTCTGTACCAGCAGGTGGTGGAGAAGAAGCCGTGGACGGAGCAGCAGTGGGCGGTGGCCATCCTGGGCGCGTTCGGCGCCATTGCCCTGCTGCTGGCGGTGCTCGTGCAACAGATGATGGTGCTGCTCTCGTAGGACCGACCCGAGACGGACGCCTGCCCTCCCCCAGATACGGTCTATTTTATTACGTGGTTGTACGCCGTCTGTGTGTCTCAATTTTAGCTGGACGCGGGTGGGCCCCCGGCCGGGTCGCCGTGCCTGGTCTGTCCATATCGGGCGCTGCGGCGGCCGCGCCGGCGCTCGCCTCATGCGCGCACGGCGCCCCTCCCAGGCCGCCGCCCGACGACCCGGCCACGCCGCCCCCGCGGAGCGGCGAGCCCCGTTCGTGTCGCGCGCGCGCGTGCGGTGGCGCGCCTCCCACGCGCCAGGAATCCCTATTTAAAATGACGCCGACACGGAAGCCGATGTATATGGTATACAGATAGATATACTTATATAATATACCGCATGCCGTGTGTGTGTGTGTGTGCGTGTGTACGTGCGCGGCCGGCGGGGTGTGTTGGTCCGTTTGATCACGAGCGGGGGCGCGGCCGCGTGCCTGTTGGTGCGCGTCGGCGTGTACATAGTGACTGTGGTTACGCGTTATCTGCGGGGCAGGCCGGCTGCGGCCGGCGGGTGCGGGATCTGTTTTCAAGTGTTACGTAGCTGTGGCGCGGAGACAATCGGCTGGCGCCATGGGTGTGGTCCGTGTGTACAAATTGAACTCTGCATTTAGTGCCGCCGCGCCCGCCCTGGGCTCGGCTATTCGGTTTTATTTTATTCAGGGTTTTGTACGGCTTGTTTACGCTTTATTCGCTGGCCGGCCGGCACGCTCGTCTGTGGTCAGCCGTCATCTCGGCCCGTGCCGGGCCTGCGTCTGACCCCGGGTCGCACGTGCTGGAGGCCACACGGCACTGCGGTGACGGCACAACGTTAGTTTTATTTTGTTTGTCTCGCTCTGAGGGCATGGACGCGCGCATCCATTCCATACAGGCCCAAAATCGTGTTTTTGGAGACAAATTCCCGTTATCAAATAGCTTTACCAGAGGGTTTGTTTATCGAGCGTTATACTGCTATTGAATATATATATTTCTTGTTATAACACTGCTTGACCCGCGCGGCCAGCGCTCCGGCGGCGGCGTTTGGTGACAATCGTGCCGGCCGTTCCTCGCTGCCAGTTAAGTCCCCTCCGCTCTATCCCCCAGCCGCGTGGCGTGCTGCCGCTCTGACCGGCGCGGCCGAACGTCCCCCTCCTCCCCCGAACCGGCCCGCCCACCGCCGGGGGCGCTCTCGCCAAGTATTACTTAGTCGGCGTGGAAACGCGACACACAGACACACACACACGCGCGCGCGCCTACATGTCAACCGGCTATATTCTGTTGTCTTGATGCATTCCAAAATAAACAAGCTATGTTAAGGGTATGTTTGGAGAGCAAGTGACGGTGCGTTCATGCGCACGCACTGTGCCGATGGCCGACGATGGCGGCCACTGTGTGACCTGCGTCGGCGCATCGGAGAAGCGGGTCAACCGCGAGTTCTGCGCCAGCGGAAAGGACGCGTTACTGCGTGCCGCGCTGTGGCCGACAGAGTCGCGGCGAAAAAATGGGGAGCTGGTGACAACGTGGTGATTGGAGCGCACGCTATTGTTCACAAGTTGAGGTCGTCACTCCCCACCGAATATCTTCCAAGGTACCTCGAAGCGCTACAGCCTGGTGCGGCAGCTGTGTGCTGTCCGGCGCTCAGGCGGGATGGCGCGGAGGCGCGGAGACGTAGCCGCCCGATAGGGATTAAGGCAAGGGACGATCTCGCCTTTGAGTATTTTTGTGGAAAGTTGCGAAAGGCGTGAGCTTTGCGATAAAGAATGACGCTGCGGGACATTTCCGCGAATGGCTGCAACCATAGTTGGGGGTGATGTTCGTAGTGGGTGGACATTGACGTCCGCACGTCCATCCACCATGCAAGGCCTGGTTATCCGTGTACGGGAGAGGAACGGGCCGCCTTCATATTCCACGCACCATGGCATTCAGCCGGCATCCGAAGTTACAAGCTGGAATTCTGGTTTGAGCCGGTTAAATCGAAAATTTTGGGAAAATGTCTCGGATCTGCGCCCAACCCCACGGTTGTTCCTTTTCAAGGAGCTGGTAATCCCTGGCTGTATCTTAGCTTTGCCCTGCCACCTCACTGTTGTCCTGCCAAATAACCAAGGTGTTCTGATGAGCGGCAGCAAGAGGGCGGGCGGAGGGACAGCCGCCGACAGGCAAAACAAGGGATTTCACATCTCTGGAAAGTTGGACGTCCACCCCGTGACGTTTTACGAAAAGGAATTCGTTGAAATCACGTTTTCCACCAATTCCAACAGGAATAAGTGGAAAAAGGGGCGCCGGAATCGTAGGAAACAAATCGCTTCCACGTTACGCGACCGGTGATCCAAATAGCCCAGAGAATTCCAATCCCGCTAGACAATATATTCGAATAAAACACCGCAGTTAGTCGACATGCTTGTTTAGAACTTTACAGAAACATTGCGACGAGGTATTAGTATCACGCATCGAATAACTGTTTCGACTACCGTTCCCGTCTGGCGTGTCAGTACTTACACACGTTGCGACCAGCTAGCTCTGCGGCCGTCACCAGGCTGACGGGTGGAGTCCTAATGACCTGCACTGCAGAGGAGTGGTTTCGCAAACTGAATTGGGCGGGGATAGCAAGAAAAAAACAAACCTGCCTCCAAAACGAGTTCCTACCTGGATGACAGTTTGGGTGGGGTAAAGGCGACTGAAAGGGGCAAGGGACGAAATACAACTGGGAAGGACAAACCAAGAACAAAGGAGGACTGCCCTGGGTTGGCTCAATGGGTAGAGCACTGGACACGCTATCAGCACACCCTGGTTCAAGTGCAGGCAATACCAAGGAGGTAATTCGGCTTGCGACGCGCACTACGGCTGGAAGCCAAACACCATCAAGCCCTTCTCACGACTTGATAACGCCCGACGCCGGCCGGACAGCTCACCAAAACATTGTGAAACAAGCGACACGCCAGACGGAGGCAAGTAGTACGATATGTAAGGCACTTGCTGCACAGCCAATAATAAGCCCATATATTAAGCCCCTGACCAATAATGCTCTTAAAACATGTATCCAACGGCTTCCAGTGGAGTGCACAAGGACGTGTCGCGGGCCCAGGAAGCTAGACCATTCTGCCTCAAAGTACGTACCAAATGACGACAAAACACGGCGACAAAAATAAAGGGGCCGAATACCGGTGATATAACAAGCACGGCCAACATCTCTAACAAGAAACGGTTGAAGGGGAGGCTCCCAAAAGCACCTTCCGCATCATCTTGACATGATTACACATATCGCCACCGGTTCATCGGTTAAATCCAACCTTACGAAGGGGAGCGTAAGAGCCTTTCCTAAACGCACGGCATACGTGCCGTGTCCCCCCTCCCCACCACTACCTATAAGTGTTTCTAGCTCCCCGGGCCATGGACCCGCTTCACGTGCTCCAGCAGCAGCCTTCGTTTGTGCCGCAGGAAGCGTGCCGGACAGTGCCGGCAGCGTCGGTCGGTGCTGCCGTGCATCCTGTCGTGTAGCCTGAGCGCTTGGCTCGTCGCAAAGGCCGAGCCGCACTTCTGACACTGGTGCTCTTTGGCATCCGTGTGACGCTTCACGTGCGTGCGGAGAGCGTCCGGCTCCAAAAACGACGCCGCACAGACGTGACAGTGGTACGGCTTGGTTTGCGTGTGAATCTTCTGGTGCCTTTCCAGCCTACATCTGTCAACGAACGCTCGATCACAGACGTCACACGTGTGTTTTTTTGACCGCGTCTTCCCGCACCGCTTCTGGTGATACTTGAGCCTCATCGCGTTGGAGAACGCCTTCTGGCACTTGTCGCACCGTGTCGGCTCCTCGCCGGCCGCGTGCCGCGCCGCGACGTGGCTTCGGAGGCCGTAGCTCGACAGGAACGTCGCATCACAGTGAGGACAGGGCGCCTGGTCCCGGTGCTCGCGCGCCAGGTGCGTCAGCACGTGGCTGTCCAGAAACGCCTTTGTCTTGAATCTGTGGGGACAGTGCGGACAGACGAACTCTCGGATCTCCGAGTGTTTTATCATGTGCTGTCGCAGCAGCTTCGCGGTGACGAACCGGGCGCCACAGCGAGCACACGCGTGCTTCTTCTCGCCTTTGTGGAAGACCATGTGCCCAGTGACGTCAGAGCGAGTGTTAAAGGCGGCGGGGCATTCGGGACATTGGAAGGTCCTCTTGTTCTCGTGGCGTTGCATGTGCACGTTTAGGGCATCTTTGAGCTTGAACCGCGCGCCGCACACTGTACAGGTCAGTGGCTTTGCGTCAGAGTGCACTATCAGGTGTGCGGTGAGCTTACTCTTGGTGTTGAAGGCCTTGTCACACTCGGAGCACTCATACGCTTTGGCGAGCCGATGCGTTTCCATATGTTGGTGGAGGCCCCCAGCGGTGAGTACCCACTTCTGGCATACGCTGCACGTGAACCCAGTCCTCTCCGAAATTGGCTTGTGAGTGTCCTGGTGCATCTTCAGAGCGTACCCGCTCGTAAATCGCCTGGAGCAGACGGCAGCAGACGAACTTTCTCGCTGACTGGTCCATGTGGACGTTACGTCTGTGCGCAGCGATGCACAAACTACTCTTAAACTTCTTGCCGCACAAGTCGCACTCAAGCTTGCGGTCTTCTTGATGTCTTTCCACATGGTAACGAAGAGCAGACTTCGAGACGAAGCCGCGGCCGCACTGCTGGCATTTGTGCGGCTTCGGCAGACCACCCTTGTGACTGCGCATGACGTGGAGCTTGAGGGCAGAAGGGTACTTAAACGCCTTGTCGCAGAGCGTGCACCTGTGCTTGTGCACCACGCCCGAGTGCAGCTCCAGGTGGCCCTTGAGGCTGTACTTGGAGAGCAGCACGACGAAGCACACCGGGCACTCGTGCACCGGCCGGCGAGCGGCGTGAGCCCGCCGGTGCCCGGCCAACGACTGCCGGTGGGGGGTGCTGAACGGGCACTTGTCGCACTGGAAGGGTTCCACTTGGCCGTGGACAGCCATGTGGTCTTTGTAGCCAGACTCCCGCAGCCAACGGCGGCAGTGAGGACACTCGCGTCTGCCCTCCTTGTGCCATTCCAGGTGAGGCTGGAGGGCTTTGGCCGACGGGAAGCGGCGCTGGCACAGCTGGCATTCGAGCACGCACCGGAACTGAGTCATGTCTGCGGCGAAACGAGAGCTCCTTGATGGTGGTGCACACCTACCCGTCCCAACGACAGACGACACGGTGACAACGTAGGACACGATTCTCTCGTACTTGAAAGCATCCTGTCGTTAATATGATGCATCTGTGTGATAAACAAAACACAGGTTTACACATGTCCATGATACAGCGCCACACTCCTCACAATTAGCAATCCATTATCGATCCATCGGTTCGTAGAGTAAGCCGCTAATTGAAAAAAATTAGAGCGCAACGTCTGCGAAAAAGTTTTCAGAGCGTGGTCAGGGCTGCATAAATGTTAAGCTAACCATGAAACTCCCCACGCCTGGCTCCAATCTCACAAAATAAAACCAAAAAAACACGTCGACCTCAACGCTGATCGCATTTGAGATTGGATCCGGAGACAGTCTTGGAGCCCTTCCTCTAAAGTATGGAATTCAGCCACATCATGCTCCTTACGAAGTTCTCACCATGAACGTAAGCACACCAGTGCACTCCCAGTGGGCAGTTCTCACATATTTCTCGGCATGGTCAGACAAAGGCAGCCTGATTAAATTTTTGTCGCGCTGCTTGATGGGCACAACCTAGAACAAAATATCCAAACCGCAGGCGTATTCGTGGGCGGATAATTCAGCTAACTGCATAGGTGCTTCAGTCGCGCAACAGCAGAAGGGCGATAGCCCTCACCTTTCGACAGGTGATCTTCGCTGTACGTGATCGACACCATCTCCTGCAAGTGATCGCGTGCATCAGTAAGTCATCTACACGTTCACACACAGCAGACAAACCGAAACACGTGAGGAGTCCGATGACCGTGGAAACCGACGCCGACGACCGCCAACGGGTGGAGAAACAAAGCTCGCGTCAAGCGGCAGGTTCATCTTCACGTCCTTTTTTTAACGAAATGCGAAAATTAGGCCCGCCCGGCCGCGTCAGCTCCCATCCCCCCCCCCTCCCCCCACGGCCGCGTTATCTCCCGTTCCCCGGGCCGGGCGGCTGGCGGGCGGTGCGCTCACCTCATCCTCGGCCGGTCCGGAGGCGAGCAGGCCGGCTAGCCGCCGCGCCAGCCTGGCCGCCCGCCGCTCCAGTGCCGCACGCGCCTCGATCTTGCCGCGGGGCGGCTCGCGGTCGCACGCCGCACCGCCGGCGAGGAGCGGTGGACAGTCCGCCTGGCCGGCCGACGGCACTGCTGACGCAGTTGACTGCGGCGCAGGGCTGACTTCCGGGCCAGGTCGACCGGTCACGGCGTCTGATGAATCAGTCTCCATGTTTATGGGGGCAGATTCCAGGTTTGCTAGCTCGTCCTCGGTAACGAGGTGCGAGGCGCTACCGTCCGGGTTTGATGGATCGGTCACGAGATCTGTCTGGTCTTCTCCAATGCTTATCGAATCCGTCTCCAAGTCTAGCGAGTCCTTTTCCAGGTCCTGTCCCTCCTTCTCCAGGTTTGGTGGGTCCTTCTCCAGATCTAGTGAGTCCTTCTCTAGGTCTAACAGGTTCTTCTCCAGGTCTAGTGGGTCCTCCAGGTCTTGTGGGCCTTTCTCTGGGTCTATCGGATCCTTTTCCAGGTCTATTGGGTCCTTCTCTGGGTTTAGTGGGTCCTTCTCTAGGTCTGGTGCATCCTTCTCCAGGTCTTGTGAGTCCCTCTCCAGGTCCAGTGGGTCCTTCTCCAAGTCTAGTGGGTCCCTCTCCGGGTCTGGTGAGCCTGCCTGCGGGTCCGTCAGGTCCTCCGCCCGCCTCGGCTGACCTGCGCCCGACGGCAGCGGGTCCACCGCAGGGTCTGGCGCCTCCTCCGTGGCGTCGCGCTGGAGCTCTTGCGCTATCCAGCAGTCCAGCTCGAGCTCGGCAGCCAGCAGCTGGGACTGGGTGCGCAGCTGCTGCCAGCGGGCGAGCAGGGCGCCGCAGTCGGCGCACAGGCGGCCGGCACCAGTCACGTCCAGTCGCCGCAGCGAGAGGACGGCATCTGCCGCCAGGTGGCCGCCGGCCACCGTCAGGTCCCACAGGTCCGCAGGGGCGGCCGACGGCGGCTGGCCGCACAACACACACACGTCCTCTGACATGGTGACCGGCACCTGCAGACAGTGAGAGCATGGTCACAATGACAGACAGACAGTCACAAGGACAGTTCCATACATGACTGGCACATGGCACTCTACTAGATGGCAGAGTTTGCCTGGAGTCTGCTTGGTGTCCACATCAGGCTTATAAGCTTAACTGAAAATAATTGAGCATCCTATCTGGAATGACAAAAAGTTGACATAAATATGTGCCTAAATCCAAGCATGCATCAGCATACCCTCAAGTCCCTAGCAAAGTGTTGAGTAGGCACCTAAGAACCTTGTTTGATCTTACCACTGAAGAGTGAGTGTCTGTTATATACTAGTTCATATACCTGGGCCAAATAGTGATCAGCATGAATAAAAGATAAAAACATATTGGTGGCATCTCACAATAATTCATAGTCTGTTGTCATGGATGATATCCATCCCTTTCTCTAAATACTGTCTATGATCAAAATACATGCTTCTTCAACAGCTGGAAGCCAGTCTACAGCCCATAGATCAAGCATACACCCAATATGTTTTGATGTCAAATTACCCCTTATCAACATCCAAAAGTGCAACAAGATCATTTTGGCATCATAAATGCCATTCAGTGGCCTCACTGGTAGGCCACTGGTGGTGGCCTGAAGTAACTGAAGTGACCTAGTTACTGAAGTGACCTAGTGACCTAGGTCACTTGTGAAGTGAAGTGACCTAGTGACCACTTCACTTCACTTCAAGTGAAGTGAAGTGACCTAGTGACTGAAGTGACCTAGTGAAGTGACTGAATCTGATAATACATGGAGACCTATAACTAGTTTACTTTACAAAGAAGAGATAAGGTACACTGCCCATTACAAACTGGTATCAGTTACATACCTTGACCCACCATTAGCAAAAGCAAACATGATAGCAATAATTAAGCCTCAATACACTGAGAGCAATAGGCTAAACAGTATAAATAACACAACAGTGCTAAAAAATATTTTGACAATCAGCACCAACCAAACAAAATAGTAAGTTTACATCTGATCTTGCTCTCTGGTGAAATTCACTCTGAAGGTTCAAATCTGGCAGTACAATTTTTACCTGGATGAGTGATACAAATACAATAATAGCATGTGCACCCTTATTGGCAACATTCTGTGACTAACACTGGTTGCCTTATACAGAAACAACCAATATATCTAGCACATCATGGTCAAAGGAAGGCTATGTATTTGAGTACAAGGCTAGTGCTGAAACTGCATGTATTTCTCATAAGCATCTAGGAAATTACAAACATGTGACAGTTATCATTTGACAACAAAGGAGTTGTAGAGGAAGTATCATGCACAAGATCAGATCAAAACAAGGGTAAAATTGCTTAGCAGATGAGTACAGATTAACTTGTTCTGGATTCAGAATACCCACACAGACAACCCCAGGTTGGTGTCAAAGCATCACAAATTTCAACAGCTTTTATATTTTTATTAATTTTTTATTAAGGTACATTTTGCAATTAATATTTTCTACCCTGATGTGAGATCAGCAATGTGATGCAAATATCTTCACAGCATTGAAACCCTGAAACACTGGACCATAAGAATTTGTGGCAGCAATGCACAAGACTAGGATTAACAATGGCTCATATTTAAGGGGTGCAAGCAGTGATTCCTTTAGGGGGGGGGGGTATCACTGCCAAGTGGAGCATTTTCAGTGTTACATGCACTTTCTTGTATTTAGCTATAAACTCCCTTCCATTGTGTCAGCTCATACCAATACCAGGTGGCTGTTGTACCAGATTCAAGTGGATCAGATCATTTTAAGAGTGAAGCCCAGAGCAGCAATACCATAAAACTTATTAAAGCACCTTAGCACTTCGGAGAAGGCATGAAAACAATGCTTAGAAAAACCAATTGGAAAACATCCTGGAATTCAGTGATGTTGATATTCTAAGATGCCATGAGGAGAGTTTTGCGCCTTATGCAGGCAGGCTAAATTGGAATTGCCTTTTCAACCTTCAAGACTTCCTATTCACACGCAAAATTGGACAAGAACCATGAGAACCATTTCCGAACCGAAGCCCGGACATCCATGCCCCACACATGAAACTTCGCAACACTGCGGTGCTTTTTAAGCGCAATGCGAAGAAATATCCAACATTATGCACCCCGCGCGTGGGCCAGGTTACATTACCTCGGATCACCTCGGAATAAAAGTGTCAGGGGCCTCGGGCGTATTGTGAGATACCGTCAAGCATATTTATACCGACCTTGAAGAGATGCGCAGAAAACTAAAAGTTGGCAGCAGTACTGAAATTGGCTGCAAGTTTTTAAAACTATCACCACGCACTTGAGGCATTCCTGGTGCAGTACTCTTAAAAAAGCGCGCCCAAGGCGTTATTATGAATTTCTAGGCTGTTGATCATAAACATGCCTTACCTGGGGAAAGACTTGTAATCGTGTTGCCGAGCTTGTAGTGTAAGGAGGTATGCAACATCCCGTGATGTGTTAAGGCTTGTCGCGCAAGTCTCTAAGCAAACATTTCTCGAGGTCGTCGACAGGCGTTCTTCCAGGTAAGTAAAACCAGTTTGGGTGTCATTTGCTGGGGAATGTGAGGTAATTAATGTCATGCAGTTGGCTTGTAAAATTGTGGCACATTGCTCTTTATCACCTCGTCCAAGCCATAAATGTTGCCAATCTTGTTTTGATGCCTTTGGCTTAATTATGTATGTTGCTGTCTTTGTCAGAGTGGTGTTTTGAGACCTTATGTGTGGAAAGACCATATTTTGCAATAGGTGGTGACTTTTTTGAAGGGCAGAGATGACTGCCCATCTTGGGTATACCAAATGCTACCTTCTTACACAAGCCCAAAGGTATTTCAATACAAAATAGAACACATCAAGGTTTAAGTTTTCTAATATACTCTATAATCACATAACTGAACCAATTTTGGCACCTGGCTTCTAAGAGCATGTAGGCTGGGAGCAGGCAACTGTCTTACAACTTTATTTTCTATAATTGGCATCATAACTTCTTGCTGACATGGCCAGAGCAGTTACTTGTGTCATAAAATAAATCCACATCAACTTAGCATCTATGCAGACTTCAGTATTTATTGTGATGTGTGCACAGTTGTAATCCCACCAATTATACTTGGGACCAGGTGTGCTCATCTTTCTGATCTAGTTCTGATCTTGCCCCCTTTTGGGCCTTTGCACTTGAAGACCATGCTGCTTGACACACAGGTGGTTCTCCACATTTAGCTGTGAGAGCAGGATGGAGTTCTCTGCGCCTGTCCGCTGCACTCTGGCTGCTGTGTCACCTGATGGCGCGTACCTGGCCACCACCCTCGGCGTCCGACTGACTGTGTTCGGGGTAGCTGCCCAGCAGGAGGTGGCCTCGTTCACCTGCCTGGATGACCCGCAGGTGGGGCCGGCACGAGGTGCAAGATCGCCACACACTAGGTGGTCCACCACTCCTGGACAGAGCAAGGCCATTTAAAGTACAAATTGTGTGCGGCGTTGGCGTTGGTCAGCGATGATGTATTGACTGGTACGGTGAGGATGTGGGTTAGAGACGCGGGGCTGTGTTGTACCTTCCAACCCTTTCCTCAGCATGAAAACGCGTGGCCTGAGTGATGTCAGCAATGACATGCATCACACAATAAACCAACAAGGAACCTTTGTCCATACATACATCAGCATTTTTGTCCTATAACGGGATCCTAATTGCGCGAAGTGCGAAGTGGGCCTTCCTGACGCCGTCTGCTGCCCGCCGCTGGCCCTGTCCTCCCCCGCACCGCTGACCACTGCGTCGCACCGCCGTTTTGGGCAGCATCTGGAGTGGTCGCCGGACTCGACGCTGCTGCTGACGGCGGTGTTCTCGCGGCGCGCCGTCCAGCTCTGGAGCGTGGAGGACACCGGCTGGCACGGCCGCATCGACGAGGCCGACGCCGGGCTGGCGGCGGCGCGCTGGGCGCCCACATCCCGGCACGTGCTCACCACCGCCGAGCTCAGCGTGAGTACAGTCGCAGCCTGGTGGTATCATGGTAAGCGAATGACGTCACCGCCGTGGGTCTCACAACTGGGCGACGGGAGAGGGCGGAGACGGGCACGTCTCCGAGTTGTGCCAAAATGAAGTGCATGCTTTTTTATTTCCTCTGTAACTAGCAACATTTCAAGCCGGACTATCCAGAAGACCCGAGCCTCTGGAAAAGTATCAGTACCGTCACAGCCCGCCGGTGTCTGGCTAGTGTGAGCGTCGACTCTGCATACCGCCCCCGCGACTGTAGCCCGGCTGAGGGGCGGCCACTTGCTGTCAGACGCGGCGCAGGGGACGGCCCAGCAGCCGGTGGTGGCTGATGGCCGCCGCGAGGTCCCCGCGGAACCGGAGCCGCGTGCGCGCGCCGGCGACGGAGGTGTTGACCGCCGCCGGCACCGGTTTCAGCTGCGTGTGACCATCTGGTCGCTGGTGGACAAGCGGGTCTGTTACATCAAGTACCTGAAGGACGTGGCATCGAGCCTGGCGTTTAGCCCGGACGGCGAGTTCCTGGCGGTGGTGGAGCGGCGCGGCTGCAGGGACCACGTCAGCCTGTTCAGTACCAGCGCCTGGGAGCTCGTCAAGGTCAGTTGCGCGGGCCCATTGGTCTGTCTTTCCGTCGTTAGCTCCTGTGCGGGAATACTCTGGTTCGTATGTTGACGTCTCTGTCCAGGTATTGGTGCTCAGGTCATTTCGTTCTTTTCCTTTTCTATGCTACCTGCTTGAGATCTTTTTTTGCTTTCCTCGTTTGACGAATGAAGCTTAAAAGGAAGTCGGTTCCACTCCGCCTTTACACTTAATGTAAAAAATACCAATACGCCGTTCAGGCAGATGTTGTATAGTTGCCCCAGGCGCAGAAGAAGACATCACGTTTTATCAATGCAGTCATCTATACATGGCTAACCATGGGAGCTTCTCCCACTGCACTAGCGACACACATAACTGAAGGTTAACACGCGATCAAAAGACATCTCATACTGCTCCTTGCGGGTTAAACCGCTTACGGGTGAAAGCAGGAAATAAACTTGCGAGACAGAGAAATCTGACCATATCTCCCGCAGCATAAATGCTTAAGGAAGAAATCAGTAGTCGTGGTCGAGGCCATTATACCACTGCCTGCTACATCCTGAAACAGTCGCGACGACATTTTCACGCAAAGCCAGAGGTGCACTTTGGCAAGGACGGCGCCGGTCGTGTTTGCCTGCAGTGCAGGGCAGTTAGTTAGACCTGACGGGTGTGTGGTGAGCTGTGCCATGCAATCTAACACGCAGGACACGGGGACGGAAAGGCTTAGCCCGTGACCGACTGGTTTATTTAAGATCTTCATGCGTTATGACTTCATACTTGATACGTTATGTCATGCTATGAAAAGCTCGTTGTTCATAGACTGAGTATGTGGGAATGACATAGATGAAGACTGTTCGGTCCATTTCAGTCGGCCAGGCGGGACGGTCTCAGGCATTGAGTGAGGGTGGGGGCTTGTTGGGGACGTGGAGGCCTCTCAAATGACGTCGAAGCTCAGATTTTGTCGGCAGACGCTCAAGTTTGCCTGTAACAAAGTATATTTAATGGCGAAAAAGGTCTCCAGAATCCTAAAACCTCCAGATGTGAACCTCCTGGACCATTTCCACAGAGTTATGGTGATACTCGGTACACCATGAACGTAATTTGCATGTTTTCTGGGTGGCCTGGGTCATTAACCAAGGAATGAAAAGGCACGATAACTGTGGCACAAATCTTTATTGAGCCTATCATCTCACGTCATGTCTAAGTCCTTGCTACTGTATTTGACAACGGGACTGAATTCTGCATTGCATTCTATCATGCTCAAGCAAACGGCAAGTAGGAGCGATTGAATCGTGTCCAAAACGATATGTTAGCTTAACTTGTCAAAGAGACTGAGACACCAAAATATCCACCATTTTTTCGTCATGTGGAACAGCGAAAAATGTCGGTACAAAACTCGGTCTTTGTCATGTAAGGTCGTAATGCAGTTCTTCTAATGAACACAATTCTCTCTCTCTCTCCAAAGTTCAGATGTCAAGGAGATGAGCATGTCGGCGCAATGTTGGAAAATCTGCTCCTGTCTTATCCGCTCGCAATGCTTAAAATCTGCTGTTATCACTTAAGGCAAGGCATAACCTGACCGTAAGCCACGAGAAAAAACAAATTGCACTTCGATCAGAATATAAAACCAGTCAAGATTTAGGTTGGCGGCATGGTGTATTTAAGGCATCCCTCGGTTGCCGTAAACTCGTTATCAAAACTCACATGTCACTGGAAACGTTTTCATCGCGCGTTGAAATCCATTAGTAATGTCACGTTCCTAATTGAAAACCAATTGACAGGCGGAAAAAAGTCAACGTTCAAAATCTGCGTTTATCTCATTCAGATACTCCATGTCAAACTGTATTCAAGGTTTCTGACCTCATAGCTTAAAAGTTCGAAAGGATGCAGAAATCGTGCGCTCTCCTCCGTGCTCAACTACCCAGAAAGTCAACGTTATCCACGGACCATGAATCTGTTTTTGAACGCACGGACCCCGTTCCATCTGACGGGTCACCCCCTTTGGGACCGCTGACCGTGCCCCCATCTCACGGTCCGGACACCGTGGCTTAATGAAGACAATGCCTGCTTGCCTTCCGTCGCACCACCGCTACGCCGCTCCACCTGATCGGGCTACTGGGCTACGGTTCGCCAGAGCTCGTCAGAATGCAGGCCGATCGACGTGTTCAGGCCCCAATCATCTCAGACCTAATCACCGACAACGCACCCAACACAAGACACACCCAGGCCATCCAAAGACAAGACACACCGAGGCCTGTGGATCACACAGCACCACACGTATCACGCAGTATCACGTGGATCACCAATTCACTATGTCAGTCGAAGACCAGTCGGCCGTGGCCACGGCAGCCGAGTCAACTGCGGCCGCCGCCGGCTCGAACGAGCGTAGGCGGGCCTCGGATATGATCGCACCACCGACCGTCTCAGGTAGCCCGTCGCCGGCAGCCGGTAGGCGCGCTGTTGTCCACACCATCTCAACTACTCAGGCGTTGAACTTTTAGTAACTTGTTCAACTGCGCGGCAACTGACTCAACTGGAGAGACCGCAGCGGCCACCGCTGCGAGCGCAGGTGTTGAATCAGCGCCCGAGTGTCATGCCGCACTGCACTGCCCGAGTGCCATGCCGCACTGCACCGCCCGAGTGTCATGCCGCACTGCACCGCCCGGCCACCGTGCCGTCCCGCACCGTGCCAGCGTCCCTCACCGGCCCGCCGCGCACCGAGTGAACCCGCCTGAACTGTCGACAGTAGAAGGCGTGTGCCAGGACACTGCCCTGCCGCGCAGGCTGCGCGCTGCCAATAACTTTAAATAATGTTTTTGTGTCGTCTTGCCACAACAGAACAGGAGCTGGAACATTTTAATGCTTTACATTGATACGCCATGCAACTAGCTGCGGTACTAATCGGTCCGCGCTCTTCGCAGCCTGTTATCAAGCGCAACAAGCGCCACCGTCTGCCGAGAACGTTTTATCGCGAATAAAAATAGAGCGAGTCTTACATCTGCACAGTGATATGTAAGGATGTACTATAATGCAATAATATTCTGAGGATAATAGCGTTTTTCAATAAAATACTTCCGATCGTATATTTTCATTACGTGCTATAGTGTGTAACCTGTGTGGATGCGTATCAAGTTAGACGATGTGGTTGTCATTGTGTATTACAATTTGCTCTTGTTAAATGTTCCCATTGACCAGTGAGAGCAACGAAAATTTTGCACATTTATGGCAAATTTCATGGAAAGGACCTCGCACTGTGATGAAACAAAGTATATTCCACACCAATAAAGATTTCCAGATGTCTTCAGACATATACTCCCTAGAATCCTCATGAGACCCTAGGACGAGAAAAGCACCGGGGGACATTTAACCCTCTTAAGAAAGAGATCACTCACCACGTGCCATTTGTTCCGGCGGAGCGTAAACTATGCGTGGGATCTTAACGTTACTCGGTGCTCCTTTAAAAATCACCCTCAGCACCTCGCCATCCATCTGTTGCATTAGATGGGTCTGGGATCGCAAGGCGATCCTCGCTCTGTGATTGGGCTAGCCGACCACCGCACGATGTCTCACTCGCTTCTCATTGGTTAATTTATCACGTCATTTCCGCAACAGACGACTCGGACTTGTTTCCGTTGAAGGAAGTGCATGAAGAGAACCGTTTGTTACCGTGTATCCTCACACGCTCACTTGTTTTGAGAATGTGAGGCTGCTGTTGGTTGTTGTCATTGAAGTGGTATGTGTACTCGTGAGTGTAAGGTTCTGGCTAATAGAATATCTAGGCAGACAAGATACATCTTTGCTTGACTCGCAATAAGGACTGGACGAGCGGGGCCGTCAGGAATAAAACGGTCATGCAGACAGTTCGAAGTCTGCTGCATTGTCTCTTAACCTGTCAATTATTTTTCTGCACAAGAATAATGAAATACACCGGCATGTTTTGATGGGGTGGAATTAAAAGCCTCCAATGTTGAAAGAAAACGACACGCCTTTCTGGTATCCGGTAATGTTTTGCTAGCCTGTGTGCGCATGCCAAAGCTCCGATTTTGTGACGGTATTCAGCATGCAGTTCAGGCATTTGTCACGCCCGACTACACAACTACCGTGATTATTTCGCACCAGAGAATATCGGCACGCGGCGAACCTTGGTAAATGAGGTTCGTGCGTTGGGTAGCCGCTGGAGCAAAACGGTAGAAATGGTGCCCGTCCCCTGCCGTGAACCAGCCCAGACAGCACCACCGTCGTACGTCCCCCCCCCCCCCCCCCCAGGTCTGCAACTCCCCCGGCGTTCGTGTCCCGTGTCGCCGGTGGTCCGGCCTCCCCCCCACGTGCGACCGGGCCGTGTCACCACACGACCTGTGACGTCACCCGTCCCCGGCCGCTGTATAAAGGCGGCCCCGCCACACGGCAGGCCAGGTCACAGCCAACACTTGGTCGCACACAGTAGCCCCGCCCAGCCACGCAATGAAGGCGTTCTCACTGCTCGTCTTGCTCTGCGCTCTGTTCGCCGCCTCTCTGGCCAGCCCCGGCGGCTACGGCCACGGCGGCGGCTACGGAGGCCACGGCGGAGGCTACGGCGGAGGCCACAAAGGCGGCTACGGAGGCGGCTACGGCGGTCATGGAGGCGGCTACGGCGGAGGGAAGAAGTACGGAGGCTACGGCGGAGGCCACGGCGGACACGGAGGGTACGGGTACCACGGCTAGGTACCGCCGCAGCCGTGTACCACACCTTGTGACAGAGTCGCGGAACAGGCCGTGATGGTGTACGAGTCGGGTCGAAGGCATCCCAGGCTGAAAGTGCCTTAATCTGTGCCGGTGCCTGTCTGTTGCATAACGCAGCACCAGGCTGTCGGTACTCGTCGTACCTGATGGCGTTCTCCTCGACGCAACTTTGTTCCTCCTCTCTATACCTTTGTCTCTGTAGTCATTGACGACTTGCTCTCTCTCCGTGCATTCCGTCCAGTTATACCCATAACAAATGTTGAATGGAACAATACATGGGGCACGGTCATATCACTGTC